TATAACTATAAAATGAAGTAAATAATTATACTATTATAATTTTAAATACATAGAGATTTTTCTCTTTCTTAAACTATCGAAGTAAAATTGTATTTTAATTACCCAAATATGCAAGATTTGAGTTGTTAAACAAACTATTTTTTCAGATCACAATTATTATAAATTATATTGTATAACTATACATCTTGTTGCATTTTTTATTCTTGTGTCTATATCAGATAACATCTTTGGGTTGTCATCTTCTGATCTGTATTTTTATATCTGTAATAAAGAGCAGAATAGTAAATTAATACTAGCTGTTTTGTAACAAAAAAAAATTTTAAAATAAGCTAATCAAAAAGATAGTTAATATAACTATACTAATCATTAATATTTGTTAGCACTTTTAGCCTTATCTGATTTCTCATTTTCAACAAGCCAACATGGATAACTAATTGAAGAACCTATACAATTGTTTCAAAAGCAACAATATGAGAGTTAAGAATTTATATAATTATTCTATAAGCAACAAAGCCAACTTATACAATTGATTCAAGGGTAATGGTATGAGGGTTAAGAATTTATACAATTATCCTAATTATTCTAATTATCCTATAAACAACAAAGTGGTAAAGAATCTGAATGTAGCAATGAAGATAATAAGTATAAAATTGAAGCTGGTATCAAGTTTTCTAATTGAGATTCTTTAGAAAGAATATTGAAAAAGTATGAGCTAAAAGTTGAATTCAAGTCTATAAAGTTTCAGATAGAACATGATAATAATGGAGATATAATTTATCAATATTTTGTTTGTGAGAATTCAAAAGAATATCAACCCCAAAAAAGATAACTGATGCAGATCATAGAAAAAGAAATTCTAAAAAAGTTGATTGACAATAGCAACTTAATGCAGGGTATAGAAAAAATACTAGTACTATATTTATTAATAAGTTTGTTAACAAGTATAACTATTCACTTGTTCTATATTGAAAAGAGTTTGCCCAAGTCTACATTTACTTTCACAAAAAGTTTTTAACAAGATAAAGTTTTTAACTCAAGATTGCAAACTTGGTGCTAAAGCCCAATATCGATATATTTTAAAAAAATTTTCAACTCAACTTTTATATAATTGTAATCTATACAATACAATATACAAATATAAAAATCAAATAGGTTATCAAAGGAAGAATAATGTGACAAATATGGTTAGATGGCTTATGCAACAAAAAGAACAAGAACCAGAATGAGCAATTTTTATTAAGTTAGAGGACGTTGACAATAATCTTTCACAACTTTTTGGATATCACTAAAGCAGGTAGAATTGTAAAAGCATTATTATGATATGGTTGTCAATAATAATATTGCAAAGACAAATACATATAATATATTATTAAATTTCTTTATAGTTGTTAACAATCATCATCAATTAAGAATTGTGATGCAGTTACTGATTCAAGATAAGACTATTACTTATATATGTGAATCTTAGAGTATATACTAAAGGCAACTGATAGTTTGTCTCCAAAGGTAATATTTATTGACACAGATCCTGCTATGATTTCTGCTATCAATCAAGTCTTTTCTGCTTCAAAATATAATTTTTGTATATTCTATATACAAACAAATATTGCAAAAAAACTATCTTAAAAACTTGAAAGTTCTTACAATAATTTTTTGCAAAGCTGGTATTGGTATTGTAATAGCCGTAATGAGCTAAAATTGAAGTATTATTAGAAAGATTTGTTAACCCAATATCTTGTGAGCAAACATTATTTAAACTAACTTTAGAAGACTCAGCAATTGTAGCTAAAATATATGTGCTTATATCTTTTTGTACTAGAATGCAAAGCACATAGCAGGTAGAAAATACAAATAGGCTTATTAAAGCAGAAGTCAGTACTAAAACAATACTTCTCAATCTGAACAAAACTATTTAAATGAAACTTGAATATGAAGCACAATACTAATAGCTTTCAGAATATAAAAATACATTACTTACTTGAGGACTTCTAAGTATTTAAAATGTTTTTTTAAACCTGTTCTAGATGTGATCAAAAAATATTTAACATTAGATTTTGTATCTATTCAAAATGTTCAAATATTCTACAGTATTTTATATCAGACAAGTTTGTTTAAAATTTCAAGTAATTTAACTATGATATGGTTTTATATTATTTATGTAAGAGCAGTGTCATTTATTACCTAATTGTTTTTTATCAGAGACTTATCCTCTCTCCCTTCTCTTAATATAAAAAAAATCAGGTTCTTATATATAATTTTAACTTTTTTTACCCTCTCCCCCCTAAAAAATCACCTG